TCATGAGCCATTAATGGTGGAGAGCCGCAAGAGATCTCCACCAATAATGACTTTTATATAGACGCGGCGACCGTTACATTATGTACACTTCTAGTGACTAGTATATGCACCATTTTCTTAAAGTCCAAATACAATTAATTCAACGGGCCAATTTCGGTCGGTTTGTTTTAGCTTCTGGTATCCCTGTTTTGCACTGAGTACCACTCCTTACAGCATGCGCCGCATGCGGGAAATTTTCCCGAGTTTCTTGCTTTTTCATTAATCAGTTTCTACTTTTTTTCATTGAAACCTTTATCCCAGCTCTCTCGATTGGCAACGATCTAATTTTTTCGACTCGCTTAATTACCTTGGACTTACATTGTTTTGAGTTTTCTTGAGCTTTGAATTACTTCTGTAAGAATTCTTCATGATTGATGGCTGACTCTATTGCTCCATAGGTTGTTAGGTTTGTTTTAGAAGTTGTTTTTTGAAATTGTGCGTTACTCGTGTGTAATGAGAAAAAAATCATTGTAAATATTTAAATTTGTTCCTCCAGTTTTTCTCTCAGATATGTGGCTGCCACCGATGATTACGCTACTCCGATTTGTAAAATAGGAGTTGAGTTTAAATCCACGGGTTTAAAATCCAGCGATTCCACTGAGGTGATTGCTTGAAATGAAACCCTTAATTCATTGAAAACCTTCATTTTTTATGGGTCAAAACTTGAAACCTCTAGAACCACGGAAGGTCGATTTTGAGGGGTGATAAAAGTTGAACCCTAAATAACGATAAATTTGGTTAATTATGGAGATCAAAGCTTTTTAAGCAGGGCGAGTAATTGGATCTTAACGGAAAAAATTTTGAAATCGTCGACAGATGAACATACGCACGGATACAATTAGTCATTACTGGAAAAAATTACAATCAGTGTGTAATTCAAAAAGGATACGGCGGCCCGCATATGCGCCCCATACGCAGAAAGTACTTTCTTCATCCTGAATAGTCGCGGCGCCGGAATGTTCCTCGAAAAAATATGTAGTCCTCAACATCAAAAGGGAAATCAGAAGAGTTCGCCATGAAATCAGATAAACTGGGTTTTGAGCTGCCGGTTATGTATATGCAGGCTTTAATGAAGAAGATTTTCTTCTAGAAGATTCAGCGGTTGCCGGAAGCGAAACTTGATACTTGGTTTTTGCCACGAGCAAGGTATTGATTTTCTCTATAATTATGGAAACCGGTTTATCGATTGATCCTTAGTTTAAAATGCTTAACAGGTTCAGCAACCAATTACAAAAACAATGACTATTTAAAAGCTATCGTTGAAATAATTTTTTTTTGTCAATTAAAAAAATTTCAATTAAGTTCAGTTCTGTTTGTGCTTCAATTTCAATCTTTCTATGGTCACTTTTTTTATGGTGTACAAGTTTAGTTTAACTTTTTAAATTCTATTTTGGCCTCATACAAATATGGGGGATATGAAAACAATTACTGCTGGGGACTTTTGTCCTAGGGGGATTTGGTCCTAAGGGGTGGGGGGGTTTATCTCTGGGGGTTTAATTCTGGATTTAGCTGCGCAATGTTTTGGTATCACGCGATGTCAAAATAAAACAAATACGCCCGCTCCGAGACGGATAAGTTCTCGCAATCGTAACCAACTCAAACCGTCTCCTGTACATATCCTCCTGAACTCGTTGCAATAAACTCAAGTTTTATCTACTTTATATAGAAGACTGATAATACTTGTGTATCATTTACTTATTGGTTGGTTCACACATCACAAAAAGGTTTTGCAAAACACTTGAAGCAAGTTGTAATTTTGGTCTAAAAATAATGAACAAAAATGTTCAGCCATTTTCTGGGTCATTTTTTTTAGTTCAGAAATTAGTCAACTTGCAATGGCATCTACTCGAAATCAATCGGTCGGGTGGAATTTCATTTCAAAGATGTTCAGTTAAGTTTTTTTTTCAGTTCCCCGAGAAATCGATGTCTCAACTGTTTCCGGCAAAGCACATATGAACTCAATTTATTTTACCGAGGAAGATTATCATGGTATTGAAGCAGTGGAGGGCTATTTGTACCATTTCAAGGTCAAATCAGTGACTCCTAATGGGAATTATGACGTGGGTCCACCTCACAGAAGTTATGTTTCTGTGTCTGGATTGTCACCTGCTACAAAATACGAGTTCGAATTTGTAAATCAGAATTGGTGCCACGAAGAATCGAAGCTGAGCGTCAATTATTCAGTCTGCACTAGTAAGAACGTTTTCTTGAATCTGAATAATTGTATATCATTTATATTGAATAGGTTTTTGATAAAAAGTGTTTTTCTGGTCTTCGTGACTAGTATTTAAAACGCTGTGTTAAAAATTTGTCAGATAGTATTAAGTATTGAGCCCCTCCCCTAGTGCAATAGGGAGCCAATTCTTTAAAAGGTTTGGAAAAAGTGTTTGAGACAACGCCAACCTATCAGAATGCGACAAAATATTTTTCTGAGAAATTCACAGCCAATCATTTTTTGGTTGAGAGAATTATTACAAATTAAAGGGGGATACTTAAAAACATCCTCGCTGTCTCCTATTCCCAGAGCAGCTCTGAATTATGTCAAACGTCTGTGGTACAAAAATCACTTGAAACATTCTGTTGACGCCTTCTTTATTGGAACCAGTTTAAAACTAGTATTTATAACCTATTGTATTATTGATAAAACTATTTCTATAAAATATTTCTTACTAACTAATCATGATCCATAACTAACACTGACAATTATTTTTAACGCTAAAACTATTCATAGTTTCAGCAACATAACAAATTAAATATAAGTTAGAAGACAGTTGTTCTCCTTCAGAAAAGTTCCAGATATCTAACTCGCAAACACCAGTGTACACTAGATCTATTGAGGCTAGGAGATAAAAGAGTAATATTTGGATCGGTATTGGACTAAGAAGTTGCACGAATCTATCCGGCCGAAAATAAGATAGCGTGACGTACAGACGGTGAACCTTATCTGAAATACTCTATAAGTGAGCCACCTCGGACTTAAACTAATCTGGTGCGACCAAGAGTCTCGAACAAGACCTGGTAACAAGTTCAGATTTAGTAAATTCAAAGTAGAAGTAAACTCAAAAACACACTACAAACGGTTAGATACCATAGAAAACGTATTAAGTATGTCTCTACGTCTCCATAAGTCTAACCCATTACTCCGAACGATACGGCAAACACCAAGTTAAAAGTCGCGCAGCAGACCAAGCCCCTATATCATAAAACGACGCAGACTGCAACGACTATTTCTCTACAAAGATCTCCATACTATATATTTTCATTCGCTAACAAGAAAAAAAAATTACTTGGAGCAGTAAGATTCATTTTCGGGCCAGATACCTCTTAAAGACGCAAGACAATACTCTATAAAATAATAATGACTGATAAAAAGGTAGCAATGTCGTTCATTTCATCAAAACTGCAGTAACTTTAAATCTATTGTAAATTTAAAATTTTCTAAATAAAAAAAACAAAAATTAGTAAGTAGTTAAATTAAAGTTGGATCTACAAAAAATATAGTAGTCTCTTGCTTCTCAGGGTCTCATATCCCCATCTGTTCATCTTTGTTTCTTAATCTAAAACATAACCAAACAAAATTGGAAAATAAAATCATTTAAAATTTTAAGTGTTAAAAAAATCCTTAACTCCTCATTTTTCCTTTAACTTAAATCTTCTACTTAAATATTATCAGGATTTATCCCTGGTTTTTAATAATCTAATTTTTTTTTGAATAAATCCTTGGATCTCTAATTCTGAATCTAAATTTAAATTTAAATTTATTTGAAAAAATTTGATCATCAAGGCTTTTCTTGGATCGAACTTAACAAAAAAGTTATCCCCACCTCCTACTAAAAAGTGTCTAACGATCTCAAACGTCGATTCACTCTCTAACTCTAATGATTACTAACGACTCAGGAAGAAAGAAAATTTTGAAAAACTAACAATTTTAATTAAGATAAACAATGAAGAATCTCGGTTTTTCCTTTTTCACTTGAGCCCCTCCTCTTAGCTGAGCCAGTCTAAAACACATCATAAATTTACTTAAATCAATAATAGTACCTAAGGATCTACTTGTGTTCTAGCTATACCTGAACCTTGTCGATTGACTTACTATTCTCCAAACCTTGATCACAAATCATAACCCTAAGTAAGATTAATTAAGTTTTACTTGAATTAAATCTTAGCCACCGAGAGAGTGCAACATAGTTCGAACTGATGTACTCTCTTACTCTCACTCACTCTCTCTCTCTCTCTTTCTCTCTCTCTCCAACCCGTCTACAGTCGACAATATATGCCCCAAGATTAGGATAAGCCCACAAAACTTGTAAGAACTAACATAACTAACTAAGGAAATATAAAACCTAACCCCTGGATTTTGCAATCATCCTTCTAAGACTTATGTCAAGAGATAGTCTAGAAAATAAATAAAGAATAACACTCCACAAATTTTTATTTAAAAACGAAAAATACGATCTTGTATTTACACCACACAAACGAAAGATCGATAAATGAGATCGAAAAAACAAACGAGAAAAAATGCAGTAACAACACAAAAACAAATAAAGAAACAAAATTTTTCCAAAAAAAGAAACGCAGTTTCGGAACTTGATATAACTACAAAACGAGAATTTAAAAAAACTCCGAGAACTAATTGACGAAAAAAAACAAACCAATCAACGTCCAAAAGTTTTTTTTTCGAATCAGAATCCGCAAAACCATCTATAAAAAGTAAATGCAGAATAAAGATTTCATACTTTCGTAAATCAGTAAGACTCTTTAATTGGAATCAACCAATGACATCCTGAAAATTACACATTAAGATTAACGCCACTCAAAAAATGATTCAATACGACAAAAATTTTGACAATGATTCTATTAGGACAAATAACAATAGTTTAAATTCAACATTTTTAAATACACAAGAAACCCATAATGGAACTTGAAATCTGAGACAACAAGACAGTCAAACTCCATAACACTTGGTAAACGAAGAATTAGTAGGAACAATACCTACAACAACACATCAGCGATTTCTCCTCTTTATCCAGCATTCACAACCACGCATAGCAGAAACACTCCTTTCCGTTAAACAACATTTCAATCATCAGTAAAACCATCCGTTGTTCCAAAATACTCCCAATTGGATTATCAAACAAACAGACCAAGAGCTAAAACACGACAAAATATAAAACGAAAAACAAGTTAACAGATAAAATATTGCAAACCACAACTACGATTTTGTCGCAAATAATAATATTAGCAATCCAATAGCGAAACTTTTTCATACATTATGAAATCAATCTGAAGAACATAATTACACCCAACAGGTACCAAAACCAGTTTCTCAATCAGTATTTTTCAAGGAAATACAAAAAAACAACGGATTGCACTAAAAAATAACCATTTTTCATCAAAACAGAAATCCATCAAACAAACAATTTACAAGAAGTCAACCTCACTGTTCTGAAGATGGAGATTACTTCAATCAAAACCAACATTGGAATCATAATAAACAACGAAAAAAATTGGTATAAAACTAAACCAGAAATTTTTGAACTTTACGTGAATTCAGAAAAAACACGACAAACTCAACAACAATTTTCTCTACGACATCTTTTGGCACAAGCATGTTACAACGAGCATTCAGAAAACCATACAAACACTCAAAGTTATCAATCTAACCCAATGAAAAACGAAATTCCATTACCTTATACGACAAAATGATTCACAAAAACGCAACCTCAAACTTCTCACAAATACAAAACACAGCAGAATCACTTCAATTGACAAATTTTCCATATCTTATATACCACTTATGGTATTCACAATAATCGACCCTCAAATTTCAGTAGAAGGGTATCCAAATCCAGTTACAGCAAACCTAATTTTGAAATTAGGTCCAGAACCAATGAACACACCACTTCATCAAAATTGGATACATCGGCGTACAGCTTTAATTCAAACCACACTTGATCGCGCAGCTCAGATGTCGTTTTCAGCTTTACCAATAAAAATATAAAACGACGGGAAAAGTTTTACACCAAAATTTTCAAAAATTTTCGACTCTAAAAGAAACAATTAACGTCAAAGAATTTTTTGCACGGAAATCGCAGACTTCCAAATGAAACAAAAAAACAACTCGCTGTACGATTTGAAACCCTAGTCCGAAAATCGAATTCTCCTAATCCACATGATTTTAAAAAAACGTAAATGACCGAAATCCTTATGATGACTCTAACACCACAGTTACACAAAACTGCAATAAAAAGAGAGCATCCATCAATCATCAATTCGAGAACCCGATATAGCTTTTAGAAAATTAGTGGATAGTCTAAAACAAGCTGAAATCACAAAAAAATTAAAAGAAACAGGAAATTTGAGACTACAATAGGTAGCTAATACTTATACGACAATTTTCCATTTCAATAATATCCAAGAATAATAATGAATGAGCAGAAAAAATTACACAAATCTTAAACATTTAGAAAAGAACCCAACTTTCAAAAGGCAAACCTTCATTCAAAAAGTGGCTAACTATTGTCGCAGATATGGACAGAGTATTGCTGAATGCAGACAATAACAACAAAAATTTTCAACCACCAGACCTAGAAAAAGATTCAAATAATGTTTGACGCGGAATCAAATGTTTGTAGCAGATCCACATGGAATGAAATCCAAAAGCTCCATCCAAAACTTTCTCCTTTAAAAACTTTTAGTAAACTCACCACTGCGCAAAGCACAAATTTAACAAATTATGGAAAATTACAATTTTTCTTATCCCAACTCGAACAATGAACATTCATACTTTTTCTTAAGCCACTCAAACAAATATTCCATATCACAGACATTAAATTTAAAATAGTTGGAATCCCATTTATTATTAAACAAATCCGAACTATCAAAATTATAACCAGTAAATTACAAACCAAGGACAATTGTACAACACTCAGTAAAACATACACATCCCTTTTCAAAGATTAAAGAAAAAACTTCCATTTTTGTCAAAAATTTACCCTATATCATCAACAAGTAAACATTTAAACCACTTATAGGACATGCATATGATTTTTCTGTCAATCAAGTACTTCAACATAACACCGATCAGAATACAAGTAAACTGTATATGTCTGATCATGAAATCAACCCAATTCACCTTTTTTAGAGTAGTAATTTCATCTATCAAATATGCTAAAGACACAAACAGAGATACA